CGATGTCGGTCCACATGGTTTCCAAGGGGATTCCTGCTTTGCTGTAGTTGTACACCACCTCTGCTACATTATAAACATCCTGATAACCGTATCTGCATTGGTGGAACTAAAACAAAAGTTAGCCATTTTTGTGAATCACAATCCTAGGGGCGGGGAAAACGTACGCCCAAAGTCCAATAACTCTGCATTGCCGGAAGACCCACGACCTTGGCATACTCGATACTCGCCTCTTTAGGAGTAGGCGCAGTGAAGAAGTAGAAGTCAAAGACGCCGCCCAAAGTGTTGTATTCGAGGTACTGCTGGCCGTCGTCGGTCTTGTTGATCTTGATGTCCATCCCGTTGGAGTTCAGTAGCAGAACGCCGTGGGTTCCAGATTCGCCACGGTGGTCGTAGTAGACCGGATGACTGCCGTAGAGGTTGGTCCCGTTGGGCGCGCTGTAAGCGTCACGGTTCCAGAGCGTGCGGGTGTAGTTGTCTGTGGGCAAGCGCATAGGATCTGAGTGCTCGCCAAGACCGTACAAGTAGGGCTCGTCGGGAAGCCAGGTGCGCAGGTTCAGATACTGGGATTGGAAAACGAGGTTCGATGCTGAGGAGTCGAAGAGTACCTCGTCGTCTCTTGAAACGACAAACGAGAATGGCTCTTCGACGAGGTCGAAATCAAGCGCCGATGTGTCGCTGGACCCGCTGTCCCCGTCCACGCGGGGAAGGACAGATTCGGGAACCTGGTATACCTGTTCATCGGCATCGTAGATGATTACATGGAGACGTTCATCTAATGAGAACTGTGAGCGAGTTCCGCAACACAAACCCCGGTTTTGAAGCATTTCATACCGGTTTGATATTCCACGAGAAGCTTGAGGTCACGCAGATCCGTGCCATAGCTGTTGCAGGGCGAGCCAGCTAAAGTCAGGTCTGCCGTTAGAGAGTTCGTATCCTTCTTGACATTGGAGGCCTTGTAGCCAGGACAGTCATGGTGAGATGCCTCCGATCTGATAGCTGCAGCGCCCACAAGGGGGACGAGAACAAACAAGGACCCTAGCATCCTCAGTCAAGAGCGTGCCTTAGGGAACAGCGTTGCTTGAGAAAGTGTGGTGAGATCGGCGCCCGATTGTCAGGGTATATATAGGCATGCATTCGGTCAGAGTTTGCTGACAACGGATGCAGGGCATGTTGATCCAAGGCCATCAAAATGCAGGCTGCAGTACAACATTGACCCCACCAGCCCTCACCATGTTCGAAAATGTTCTGATGCCAAGACCATCTCAGTCAGGTATTTTGCCGACGAAGGCCGCGACTCAAAGTCCAGAAGTTGCTGCCAAGAGGCAGGTTAGACTAGAGTAGGAAGGCCGAGGTTGGGGTAGAGCGGAGTCCGAACCCTTAACGAGGTAATTGGCACCCTTTTCCAAGACTATTTCGGTCAATTATCGGGGATCATCGCCACTAGTGATTTGGGAAGTTGGGACTCATGCGGGGGGGGGAGCAAGTCGGCTGGGCTTCTGCGGTGGTGGCTTGCATCCGTCAGAGCCGGCCACCTCACAGCGTGGTATGGATGGTTGCATAGGTATGTATCATTTGTGACGTCGCTTGTTCTTTTTCTGGTGGCACTCAAGCGACAGGTGCGGTGCAGGCAATAATTGGGAGGTCGGGACCCTTAAGCTGAGGTGAGGGGAAAGTTTGGCTGCTGCAGCTGCAGCCGACGTGGAGCCAGCACGGGCCGTAAGACGAACACCATTGCATCACAACAGATAGGAGAAGTTAGTGGTTGGAATCGGCGTTCGAATTCAGCTGTGTGTGCTGCGAAAGAAAGGCAATATTGTATAGATACTGATCATCGCCATGGATTGAGATTAAAACTGGGTGGCCCAGAGACATGCATAGTTGAGGAAGCAGTGCCAAAACTGGGCCCGGGATCGGATCGGACTGGGAGATGCAAGTAAACCGAGCCTTACCCAAAGAGGAAAATACTTCAACCACAACAGCCAACTCAACGATGGCTTGTGTACCATGGCGTCTCCCATACTCCGCCCTTAGTGGTCAGTAAGCCTGCACAAAAGAAGTTCTAGAGCACTGAGAAGTGTTTCTAAACGTGCACCCATCAAACCTACTAGGACTACCTGGTGGGAATTCTTCGCCCATCGCTGCTGATATATCACCGACGCGCCTGACTGACCCTTAACCCGTCAAATCGCTACATCAGAGCGATTCCTCGAAGAACCCTGAAACTGATGTCTACCTTGTGAGCAGTCTAGTGACCCGATATTGCTAATAAAAAGCCCCTTTTCGCACCTGCAAGTACATCGGAAAAGCGGTAGCGTTCATCTCTGATTTGCTGAGGCTACGGGGCTCATCACCCCCGGAAATCATTACAAAACTTTCTGAGCGCCCGTGTCAAGATAGACCCCGATATCAGCTAAGTCCTCCGGGGCCGAACCGTAGCTTCAGGACGCCAATACCTACGGAGATTTAGCGGGACTATCTGTGGAGGACATGGACAAAAACCGGCCGACGGACGTTGGGGGTTTGCCATTGCACATAGTGCTGGGTGGTCGGGCGGAGCGGGTGAAGTGCGGGGACTGGGATTAGATGGGGTGGTCGGGGGCTTGGGGAAGTCTTCGGGACGTGTGACGTGGAGGAGGCGCTTTGGACGGCGTATCGTTTGTGCTTCGAGTGTAAGGACGTCTAAGGAGATGGCTTCCTTTATGTAGGAGAGACTTGACAGGATAGTAATCATCGCCGTAGTAGCCGTGCAGGTAGAACCCCCCTAGCTCAGCCTGAGGGTTGGAATATGTAGAAGAGCTGGTAGCAACAATCTCATGCAGACTTGCTACCAATGAAGACATGAATATTTGTCTTGGTTACCACAGAGATATTCCCCCGGGAAATCTACCCATCTCACTAGATCGAACCAGGAATTGTTTGGTTGGGTTGTTTTGCTTGCTAACATGTGCACTGCAAGTCGTCGGTTTGTCCTTATCGCAAAGGCGGGAACCCGAGCCGGTCGGCCCTCGGGACTGATTAATTCCGGCGGAACTGATTTTACCCACCCTATCCGGTCGGATAACCCGGGCGCGCAGCGGTTCAGATTGCGATTGCACATAACCTTGTGATCAGAATATCACGAAATGTGTGTGAACAGGTCGCTTATCGACACTGACGGTCCTCGGAGTCAATGGTAAAGAATAGCCAGGGTTCTAATGGATCAAGAACAGCTTTTGCCTCATATCAATCTCAACCACCGGAGCACTGGCATCTCTCCGGCGCACGGCAACTGCTGTGTTCTGCGATTGTGGGGAGCTGAATTAGTCATCGTGGGGATGTGGCCTCGAAGCTACGTACGCATCGGCATGCATCCAGTGGACGGAAATGCCGGCAATGCTTTGCCCATCATGAAGCATGGAACTGCGAGAAGGCATTACGCATGATGTACAGCGGGCGGCGAGTATGCTAACCGACTAAGCTTCGGTTTTGCACGTAACCTATCCGACCTACTCTGAGCTATTTGGGAAGGTTGAAATTAGAAGGAGATGCTACGTTACGAATCGCTCCATTAAGGCACACGCTTGACAAAATCTATTATCTATACTATCGTAAACTTGCTATGGCATTTCAGGCTTGATTCTCGATCTTGGTGATCAACGTGCCGACGTGAGGCTGCAGCTCAACTGCAAACTCATCGCCGTGCTTCAGGAACTCCTTGGGGTTCTTGGCAGCGCCCACGCCGGGGGGAGTACCGGTCAGGATGATAGTTCCAGCGGGGATGGTGGTGCCCTGCGATAGGAAGCTGACGAGCTGAGGAACGCTGAAGATCAGGTCACTATACACAAATGATTAGCTTCTATATTGCGTGCCGACTCGTCAGGACCATCAGCCAAACATACGTGAGAGGGCAGTCCTGCAGGACCTTGCCGTTCTTGGATCCCTTGATGTGGAGCTTGCTGGCGTCGGGGACTTGGGCGGCGGAGACGAGGACGGGACCTATTTTCAATCCGAGTCAGAGATATGCTGCTATGATGAGGTCGAGGGTGTGCTTTCTGGTGCAGGGAGGTCATGCATACCGATAGGGCACGAGGTATCGAATCCCTTGGAGAAGCACCACTGGCTCTGGTTCATCTGGGAGGTCCGGCTGGAGACGTCGTTGGCAGCCGTGTATCCGAGCACGTAGTCCAGCGCCTCCTCCTCGCTCACATCCTTCGCGTTACGGCCGATGACGATGACCATCTCCGACTCGTAGTCACCGGTGTTGTCCTTCTGTGTGATCTTGGGCAGGACGGTAGGAGCGGGCCACGGGTCCGAGAGTGCCGTCGGGGGCTTCATGAACAGCGTAGGGACGGTGGGAATGTCCAGCTTCATCTCAGCGGCGTGGGAGACATAGTTCAAGCCAATGCACCGGATGGTGCCGACTTCGCTCTGTGCCAATGGGGAAAGAATGCGCTCGATGGTCTCGGTCGCGTCGGTCTTCTGGCCGGGGTTCAGGACCGAAGTGCCGGAGAAAGGTCGCACAGCGACTTCCTGGCCCTTGTAGACGGCCAAACCCACATCAATGGAGGCATCGACGGGCTCGCCGATAAGGATCTTGGATGGATTTGACTTAGGAACGAAGCGCACAAGACCTGGTGGGGGGTTAGCAGCTGAAGGATTTTCTTGTTCGGACCGTTCACATACGCGAGAAGGTGGATGCGATTTTAGACATGGTGAATGAAGGATGAGTGCAAGGTATGTGAGTGTATGATGCGAACGTGGGAGATGTGTAGAACAGTGGATTCCACGCTTTTAAGAGGAATGCGGCATATAACTACCCCGACATCGCAGCTGCCACCCCTCTTTTCTGGTGCGGGGAGGGGTAAAAATAAGAGGTGGGGCAAATGGCGAATCGAGGCCGGGTGGGAAGTTCGGAGGTGGTTGAACCGTTTGGTGACTTGAACTCTCTTCTCTCTCGGACGAAACCCGGCGATGGCTGACTGCTACTCCGTACACTTTACACTAAACAGCCCACTTCAACACTTCCCCACGCCGCGGTTGTGGGGATGTCGCCAGCGGGGATCTCGGTCGGAGAAAGCGGCGAACTCGCAATGCGCTCTGCGCTGATTTAAAAGGCTACCAGGTACGCCGTCGCAACTTTGTAGGAATCCAAATCAAAGCACATTCTAAAAATCAGTCATCATGTCTCCCAAGGGCCCCTTCCGTCTCGTCACCGTCAACACTGCTCCCGAGAGAGCCAAGCGCCTGATCGGCCGCCTTATCGAGGCTCTCAAGGACCGCTACACTATCATCCACGTTGACAACTGCGAGAGTGAGTGAACTGATTGTCTGAATGTCTTTGTCATGTACTTGACTGACCACGAGCTCGAACAGAGATCGAGGAGGTCGAACCCAAGGTCAAGGAGCACATGCCTGACGTTCTGGTAAGTTGAATTCCTCCACCGCGAGCACCTGTTCGCTGGCGGGTGACTTTCTACCTCTGGTATGTGTCCTGACTTTGATCTACAGTTCAGCGCTTCCATGTGGACTGCCGAGCAGGCTCAGGAGATCCACTCCATTGCTCGTTCGATCAACCCCACCATCAAGCTCCACGCCATCCCCGAAGGCCTCCAGGTCGAGCGCGGCCCCGATGCCATCGTCGAATACCTTGTCGAGAAGGTCCCTCCGTTGTTGGATGCTTAATTGGACACGATTCCTGAGGTGTGAGGGTGCCAGGGGCAACTCACAGATTATGTGGTGGAATTGATGATACTCTACGTCCTGTATATAGTTTACTTCCCAACAATGTCTGCGAAATCGCGACTACGCAATCCATGCATCATGATTGTACTTGACTGCTGAGGCTTGTGGCTAGCGGCTGTAAAGCGGTACCTGTCACTTTATAGATGTTCCCGTGTAAAAGGATTGCTCATCTCACCAATTGGGCACGCTATGCATATGAACCGCAATAGGTATTTTAAGAATACTAACAAGACACTGCAGGATGATTACCATGCAGGTGAGTATGGACAGTCTCGTGCTCTGTCTCGTGCTCTGATACATGTCCTGCAAGCTTTTCTTGTCTAATAAGAGCCAGCAGCCTCCAGACTTGCCAGCTCTCCCACTAAATCGTGATTCCAGCCCTTCGAAACCGAGACCGGGGGTGGTGATGTGTGCAGTGACCGCCGCGGTATCTCAAAACGGTCATGCAGGCCGCAGACCGCCAGACCGCCTTCCTCGTACAGCCGGCAGAAATTGAATGTTTCCCCGCTCCTGCAGAAATGCTTTTTCGAACGAAACCCATCATAACCTGGACGCAAAAGAACTATTTACTTATTTCCGAGTCGTCGTGCACTTCATCTACACCTGGGATACTATATATAAAGATGCCAAGAGATCCATTGATCGGCTTGGTGGGAAAGGTCTTTTTTATCTTCTCCATGCCACCCACCCTCTGATCCACTGCTGATTCCAATGAGGGGAACCTGTAGCCGTCGAGCGGAAAGTCAACCACCCTCAACAGTTTGACCGATGCTTCCTCCAAAGTTGGTATGTTCTGCTGCTACTGCAGCTAGTCTCTTCGGCGCTCATCGTATACTTACTATCATAACCACTGCCTAGGAAACTTCCCGTGCGTTTTGACACCCACCCCCCCAGGCGATTTGTCAATCGTCCACCGAACAGCGCTGATTCCTGCCGCAGATTCACCACCATCGATCCCCAGCGCGCTATCGGTTATCTTCAAATCGAATGCGCCTGCCAAAGACTGAACGTTTCCGACAAATGCCGACCGAACTACGGAGGCTGCGTGGAGGGCCGCCGCTCGGTGCCGATCGAGCTCTTGGATGTAGCTGGTCTGGTTCCGGGCGCGCACCAGGGCCGCGGCTTGGGGAATAAATTCTTGGACGACCTGCGCCATGCCGATGCGCTGATTCACGTGGTGGATGTGAGCGGGACGACGGATGCAGAAGGTACAATCACATATCCGGGGGCTTCAGCTGATTGGGCCTCGAGGGGTAACTTGGTGGACTGAAAAGGGCTGACCGGATGTCTGCAGGCAAGGCCACCCGAGGCTACGACCCCTCACAAGATATCGAGTGGCTTCACTCTGAGATCGTGCGATGGGTGCTGGGCAACTTGATGCAGAAATGGTACGGTCGCGTTTTGGAATCGCAGAGTAGATGGAGAAGCTGATTTTGTAACCCCAGGGGATCGATCAAGAGGAGACATGTGGCTACAAGTGAGTTGACGGCGTGGTGGGTGAATTCGTGGCAGACTTTCTGACGCTCCCGCTAGAATCAACGGCCGTGGATACATTGCAGGCTCAGTTCTCCGGTTACGGAAGTACATCCTCCATCGTTGGACGGTGCCTGGATAAGTTGGCGCTCAAGGAGCCATTGGAGGCCTGGTCGGATGAGACAGTGGAGAAGGTGGTCACGACTTTCATCGACGAGAAGTTCCCTACCGTGTTTGCCTTGAATAAGATCGACCATCCCGATGCGGACAAGGTGTGTGCTTCCCCGCTCTGGATGGATGTGCCCTTGGACTAATATGCGGGGCGCTAGAATATCAGCAAGATCGCCAAGATGCAAGATCCGAAGTCGATCGTGCTGTGCTCCGCCATCTCGGAAGTTTTCCTGCGCCGACTTGCAAAACAGGGCTATATCAAATACATTGAAGGAAGCGAGTTCGTAGATATGCGAGAGGACCTGATTGATATGGGTGATCCGGATGGAGGTGGCCTCAAGGAGATGGACGAGAAGCTGAAAACGTACGACACACCGAACCTGACCTGTCGATGGAAAAGCTAACCCTGAGACCCCCAGGCGTGTCGAAAACTTGAAAGATATGGTTTTGTATCGATTCGGGTCCACCGGTGTTGTCCAGTGTCTTTCGCGTGCTGCGGAACTCCTGGGGCTTGTACCCGTGTTCCCTGTCCGCAATATCCATACCTTCTCATCCGGAGCTGGGACGGCAGTCTTCCGAGACTGTGTCCTCGTGGGCAAGTGAGTAGTCACTGGATCAAGCTAACAGGGAATGTGCTGACAATGAGTAGAAACAGCACAGTCGGCGACGTTGCCCGCAAGGTCATGGGAGATGTCCCCATCTCATACATCGAAGGAATCGGTGGCACTCGTGTCTCCGAGGACGAAATTGTGGAAGTTGGGAAACACGACGTAAGGGGATTCTGTGGTTGTTTACCGATCATGCACAGACTAATCTTGCCTTTCTTAGATTCTTTCTTTCAAACCTGGCCGATAGATTCCCCCCGAATACAATCTATGTACAGTGAACATGATAATGAAACTATAAACCGAGATGATGCTACTATCACGAAGAGAACACGAGCGTTTCAACTGCAAAAACAAGTAGTGTCAACGACTGGCGTGAAGCCAGCAATCCTCGTCCGTTGATATTTAGTGACCTCGCTGAGAGATAGGTGAATTAGCCGAATCTGCCCCAACACGCCGGGATTACATCACATCAACAAGAAAGTAAGGGTGTGCAAAATACCTGTCCTCTCTCATCATTCATCCCGATGACCGGCTCCGGCGCCTTCGGATGTTCTTTCTTGGCCTTGCGCTCGTGCTTCAGTCCCCCGCGCTCCGTGGCGCCCCCCTGCTTGGAGCTGTCCGGCACCCCGTAGCTCGACTCTCGGTCCTCCTGCCCGGCCGCCGAGGCATCGGTCGAGACATCGGTCGTGTCGCGCTTCTTAGTCCGGTTGACGGCGTGGTCTTCGGCCTTGGTGCCCACCCATGAGCTGTTCCGACGGGCTTGCGCCGTGGTGGCTGGGGCGGCAATCCTAAGGGCTTGTTGCTGCTGCCTCGCGAGCAGACCGGGGAGTCTCGAAGCGATGCGTGTCGTGGTGAACAGGGACATTCTTGCGGTTTCGTAGGTATGCTCTTGGGGTTGTAGAATTCTGGCTCGTAGTGTTTACCTCGACTCGACACTAGAAGTGAAGGTAGCAAAATTGGAACTATAACTGATTGTAATTGTATGGAAGAGATCCGAATTCATAGGAGAAAATGACATCAACGACAATGCTACCTCCTAGCTGGGGTTATATACTCCATGGTCAATCCAGTGACTTTTACCCCGGTAATGGGTCATGACCGTTCTTGGCGCTACATGACGTCTCCATGCCGTAATGAGCTTGACCCTAGGGCTTAGGGTTTCTGGGGGTGCTTATCGATAAGAGACGGGAGTACTGGGGAGGCAGGGCGGAATGTCAGCGTCAAATCAAAACATCCCCCTTCTCCCCACCCCACCCTCTTATACACTGCATGCTAGGTAATGCTATGCAGATAGCTTCTAGCACCGACCTATTCGAATAGCCAAGATGAAGCGCGCTCACTTACCGATCGAGACGCTGCGGGCGTGGGTGAAGCTCAATGGAATCGGGGTGGAGAGCGTTGTCTTCGGTACTCTGGGTGCGGATCACCATGAGAATGATACCTTGGGCAACAGCAGCAGCAGCAGCAGCAACAGCAACAAAGGCACAGGGATCATCGCCACAGAGGACTGCGCCGGGGGCGAGTCCGCCCTTGGCGCCGTGGATACGGGGGTCCTGTTGAAGGTGCCCCCGGATCTGATCCTGTCGTTGGAGACGGTGCATGGGTATGCCAAGTCGGATGGCCGGCTGAGGGCGGTGCTGGAGGCTGTTGGGGAGTTTGCTCGGGTATGTTTCTCCCCTTGTTCTTTATTCTTATCCTGAGTCCGGGGGTTTTCTGGTTCTAGAAATTCTGGACTCGAGGGGACGGGGGGCTGGGCTCGGTGGTTTATATGAGAGACATGCTAACCAAAGAAGCCAGACCCCGCGCGGCGCGATCTTGATCTTCTTGCTCATGCAGATCACCCACTCCAGTCCGGATTGCACGGGCCAAAGCCAAGCGGTGGGGGTGGCGGGCCCCTGGACGGAGTATATGAAGTACATGCCGCGGGAGATTCCGCTGCCCACGTTCTACTCGGAGGCGGAGTTGGAGCTGCTGCGCGGGACCTCGTTGCGGCTGGCGGTGCATGCGAAGCTGGCGGCGTTGGAGAAGGAGTTTGCGCGGCTGCGGGAGGCGACGCGGGGGATTGACTGGTGCAGGGAGGTTTGGTGGGGTGGCGAGGATGCTGATCCTGGCGGTGATGATCTTGAAGGTGATGGTGATGATGACGTTGCTGGAGAAGAGGCGGCGCGGTTGACACTCGAGGACTGGAAATACGTCGACGCGCTGTATCGGTCCCGGATGGTCGATCTCCCGACCAGCGGGCATGCGATGGTGCCCTGCATTGACATGGCGAATCATAGCTCTGAAGAGACGGTCAAGGCGCTGTACGATGAGGATGCGGAGGGGAATGTGGTGCTGCAGTTGCGGTACGGGAAGAGAGTGCGTGCCGGGGAAGAGGTGACTATCTCGTGAGTTTTCATCATGTCGCATAGTATGAGGGCTTGGGCTGGTTGAGTGAAGGTATGGGGCTTACTCTGGACATGAAAAGGTACGGCGACGAGAAACCCGCGTCGGAGATGATCTTCTCTTACGGCTTTCTGGATCGAGAGACCGCCGATGCGAAGCAGGTCTTCCTGGATCTGGATATTCCGGACGATGATCCGCTGAAGGTCGTTAAGAAGGCGTTCTGTAAGGAGCCACCGGGTGTGCGGGTGTATACTTCGGCTACAGATTCCAAGTCAGCCCCCACCACGGCCTGGGAAAGCTCGATCATCTGGTGGGCGTGTGTGAATGAGGAGGATGGGTTGGATTTCACGGTCCTCCAGACCAATGATGGGGGGCGTGAGCTGAAGGCTCTGTGGAAGGGGGCTGAGTTGCGGGATTCGGCTCATCTCAGCGAGCTGCTCCGTGCGGACCCGCATTGGGATATCATTCAGCTTCGCGCGGTGGTACTTATTCTTGAGAGGCTGGAGACGCAGGCTTGGGTGCTCAGGGAGACGGGGCTGATGGTGTTTGAAATCGATGAGAATGAGGACATGCGGGCGATGTTCAGGCCGGATGTTTATGATATGATTAAACGGTTACGGGTGTTGGAGATGAATTTGTTGGGTCGGGGGATTGAGGGTTTGGCCATGCGGGTATGTTGCCTCTGAGGCATGTTTATCTTGCGATTGCCTTGCTAACTGGAGTGTTGCAGAGAGATGAGCTCATGGCCAGTCCGGCGGTCAGTCAGTATCTGGGGCAGCAGCAGCCGGAGACGGCAGGGGCGGAGGATGTCTCCAGCCAGCAGCAGTCTGAAGACGTTGAAGACGATTTTTCTTGATGCGTATCCTGAGGGACTCCGTTGGAAAGACGACCGTCGAAAAGACGACTGGACTAGGTATAGAAGTCTAGTCCACTCAAGACAAGCCATAGGCGTACGGCGTGGCAGTATCGATTCGATCAGTAGCGGTATCGTATCAAGGTAGTTATAGGCCTTCAAGTGACGTAACATAGTTCCTAGGTGAACTGCTAAACATCTGAGCCGGCTACCTGAATAATCAAGCTACCACTACATTAATAAAACTAAGTATATTTGAATATCAAAATATTTCTTCAGACTACGGGAAGTAAATTGGGGCTTCAGTAGAATATATGAAACCAAAAGTCACTACGTCGTATGCTGTGGCGACAAGGACGAGGAGGCGACTGCGTCTTCCTTACGGAGCAAGCGGTGGATTTCCTCTCCTTCTGGCTCCCTTCTCCTGTTCTCTCTTTCATTATTGACCTTATGTTCTTTGATCAATCAATCACTTGATCAATACATCTTTATCCATCCGCTCATAGGCTGTTACCGAGAGCCCATGTCTTTCCAGTGGTAGAGAGATTCTTCTCTCCTCAATACATAACATATCAAGACAGTCACAGATCTTAAGGTACCTGGGAAGTTTGTAATCTAGCTGAAATATAAATCTTTGTATTTCTACTCTAAAACAGATACACTAGCTAGGACTACCTCTAGGTGGTCCGGTAAGAGCTAAGTGACTGTAAGGGGGCAGCACAAATCTCATTAACATCTATGATGCACTGCACAAGCTGTGCAAGAGATTTTTTCCGAGGAAATATTTGTATGAAGTGTTCCTTCATTTCATCATGAAAGCCTTTACTTATTGCCTGATCAACATCCTACTGAACACCGAACAAGCACCTCACCCCAATGAAAGCGACACCTATCATTCTGTAACCCCCCCCCCCTCGCGGCCCACAAAGACATATGTTTTGTTCCAGCAAACCTCACCCACCAAGCGAAAGGTTTTTACACCCCTCACTCCGCCGCACAATTAAAGCTCTTGGCCCGATCATTCCACCCCAAGTACGCCAGGTTCTCATAGCCGGGGAAATGGATCTGCAGTTCCTGGCCGTGACAGCCCGATTCCCTGGTGCATACAACGAATCAATAGCCATTCCCAAGACTGTTCACAGTAGGCCAGTAGAAGGGACAGGGCTCAAACTCACGAATAAAGCGTACACCAACTCCCCCGATCCGACCCCGCGGCCGAAACGCCGCGATCTCCCGGCGGGAATTGATCGGTGATGGTTGCTGTTTTGGGGGTTTCAGTCATAGGTGATCAAGATGGGCTTGGTGGGGTTTGAAGAGGTAGGTGAGAGAAATCAGACGTACTGCACTGCCCAAAGGGAGAGGTGTAGTGGACGCAGTAGCCCCGGAAGAGCGCGTTCTCGCAGAGATAGAGGCCGGAGTTGGCGTTGGTGTTGAAGAAGACGTGCTCGGAGGTGGCGACGCGGGTGGTGGTGGTGGGGATGGGGATGGGGGCTTCGAGGATGGTTTGGTCGGCTTGCTGCTCGTGGCAGGGGAGGCTGGTGGCGGAATGAGCGAGGATAGAGAGAACGATGGCGGTGGTGGTTGGAAGATGCATTTTGATCGTGGGTGAAATAGGGAGTATGAAGGGGAATGACTTGTTAAGCTGTTGGTTGGGGTGGTTTGCTGGGGGATGAAGAAGCAGGGTCCCCACGACCTTATATACCTTTGCTCAGGTGTGGTGTGATGAACTGGAGATGGCGTGTCTTTGCTTCAAGTTGGCTGTTGGATGCCCAAAGACGAAGGCTGCCCTCGAACATGCTTGCTTCGTGTTGGACTATGTGCATCTCGAACGTGATTGGATTGTGCGTCTGTGAGTCGAGGTGAAGAATACTGCGAGATGAAGTAGTGCTTCGTATTCGAGGAGCCTCATTCCTGAGACTGCCCAATCGCTAGGGCTAATCCTGTCCCGTCTGTCCGGATGGGCTACGTGTGGGATACTACTAGGTACTATGTAGTACTCTAATTGAGCCAAGAAACTCGAGGCCACGGACTGGCCGACGCCAAGAGACTAGGAAGCTGTCAAGGCAATTTCAATTCGCCAGGATGATGTGTCTAGCAAAGCCAAGATCGGAGGATGTGCGCCAAGACTCGGACAGGAAGAGGACTGGATTGGCACAATCCAGGCTAATGCACTCCCTGCATCTTCTCGAGGAATGCTTAACGGCAGGACGCGAAGAGAACAAGTTGGGACAAATCAGCGATGGGCACGTTGTGAGCGGTGCAGATACCCCACGTTGGAGGTTGACAGGAGAAGGTCGAGCGGAGGATCTAGAACGTTCATATTCTCCAGCTGAAAAGGGTGCATATATTGATACGAGCGTCGGCGTCCTGACAACGAGGGAAGTAGTTATTTTGTAGTTGAATGGGTGTTGTTCTTCCTTGGCAGGGTAGCTTTTCACTATTAAATACTCTTGGTAGCCTATAGCCCCTTAGTCTAATATTGGGATATGTTGGTTGATTTCAATTGAAGATATAATGATACACAAACTCCCTTTTCCATTTGTATATTTTGGACCCTAGGCCTTGTGTTTGGCAACCCCAGAAATTAGTCTTGCCACAAAATAATGGTGCTTTTGCCTTGCCCTATCTGCGGTCAACTGCCCAGTCAAGTAGTCCTTTAGAATCCGGCCGCTTGCATGGCCGACTTTCTTGACAAATACGTTATCATCAGGAAGAAAACACTATGAATATACCATGTATTACGTGAGAACAAGGACTAAAGTGCATTACAGGCAAATGGTGATTGATACATACAGTACACTGATTCTCGGTGCCGGACCCAGTAACAAGAACATGGAACGGATCCTCAGCCTAACAAGCCATGCTCTAGCACCCCAAAAGGCCTAGTCTAACCATAACCACCATCTGGACACTTTCCTCCCCTCCCCGGGCGCGCCAATGCTCTTCCTAAAGCGCAGCACCTCTAGTAAGGAATCTGCTCATGAAACCACTTCATCATAAACTTGACCTGCGGCTTCTCCGCGATCGCCACATCGCCGAACGCATTGCCCAACTCCATCACCACCTGCGTCCCGTTCTTACTGTTCGGCCGCCACACCGGCAACGTGCCGTTCCCCGTGTACGACCCACCCTCGTTCGGGTCCAGGGTCTTCGCAAAGTTGGCCCAATACGCCGACATGCGCTCTTGGATCTCCCAATCCGCGTCCGTGAACGGGTAGGTGTCCACGTTCGCGTACAGCGCGTTCAACGCGTACATGATCTCCGACTGGTGGAAGGCGCCCTGGTCCTGGCCGGGCGGGGCGTGCGTCCAGTAGTAGGTGTAGAAGTCGGAGGAGGCGGCCTTGTACCAGTCCGTCGCGTAGGCCCAAGAGCCGATGAGCGAGGCGTCGCGGGCGGCGGCGTTCCAGGAGCGGTCGGCCGTTGCGGCGGTGCCGTTGTCCGGGTACAGGCGGATGTACTCGTCGTACAGGTCCCCGTACTTGGCCTTGGTGTAGGCTTCGTACTGCTTGACGGTGTAGGAGGTCGTGGTCGAGGCGCCGGACTCGTCCTTCGTGTTGCCGGTGATCACGGGGACGTCGTTGGCGGGCCCGTTGATCAGGGTTTCGAGGTAGGTCGAGGGCAGGACGTAGCCGTCGAGGACGGGCTTGAAGATGAGCGGGTATCCCGCCGAAAGGGCGGTGATGGGGTCGATCCAGGTGCTGTTGACGCGGTCCTGGGAGCCCACCAGCAGGTCCTCCATGCTCAGAGTGCGGAGTTCGGCGATGCTGCTGGCGTTGTGGAAGGTCGTGTAGTTGACGCCGTGGAAGAGGGCGGCGGACATGTTCACGTAGGAAGTGGCCAGCCCCGCCAGGAGCGGGTCGTAGGGGTACCGGATGCCGGACTCGGAGATGCCGCCGCGGAAGTAGCCGGTGAACAGCGGGCTGTTGACGGCGTGGTAGACCTGCGACGAGCCGAAGGACTGGCCCGCGACGACAACGCGGTCCGGGTCACCGCCGAACTGGGCGATGTTGTTGCGCACCCACTTCAGCACCTCCAGCTGGTCGAGGACGCCGTAGTTCCCGGAGGTGTTGTGGCCGGTGAGCTGCAGTCCTTCTTCGTTGAGTTCCGGGTGCGCCAGGTAGCCGAAGGCGTCGTCGCGTCGGTTGAAAGTGATCAGGATCACGTCCTTGAGCGCCATGCCGCCGCCGTACCACCACGCGTCGTCTGAGGTCTCGTCGCTGCCTTGGTTCCACACCATGACGGGAAGTTTGTCGCTGGCGCTCCCTGCGTTGGTCCACAGGTTCAGGCTGAGGCAGTCCTCGCTGATGTCCGTGGCGTACTGGCTGGGGCAGGCCGGGCCGAACGCCGTCGCCTGCAGCGTCTCGTTCCACGGCGTGCGCGGCTGCGGAGCCTTCCAGCGGTTCTCGTAGCCCGTGTCCGCAGCGAAGGGAACACCCAGAAAGGCGGTCACGTTGGACTCCGAGACGCCGAAGTACTTCTCCAGGGTCGACTGGTTGAAGTATTGGAAGCCCTGCACGGGACCGTAGCTGGTTTGGATGACTTCATCCCACAGTTGGGCGTGGACAAAGGAGGCGCCTAGGGCCAGGGAGGCCAGGCCCTTGGTGGCGAAAGAAGGCATGCCTTAATTTGTTGGGCTTCTAAGGCAGGAGAGGAATGAGGTGGAGGGTGGTTAGAAGAAAGTTGGATGGTGGCAAAGGGAGGAATGCGCAGCTTTATAACCTGCATCCCTGCCAGCCACGGCTAAGACGGACGACCGATAGATCTCCGTGACTACCGAGGGTGGTCTGACAGACTGGTACAAGCACACGTGGGGACGTGATTGAGAATAGTGCTTCATGCGTAGTCTGCATGACGATCCTTGCCGGAAGTTGTTGGACGCGCACTTCTGGAAACCATGGTGCCTTGCGAGACGCATCAGATATGCCTAAGCGGGGCGCACGGCAGATTGACGGGATGTCGTCATGGTCCCGCTGCATTGGAATATAGCCCCGGGGTGTTATAGCTTGGATTCTTCACGGAATACTCCTCCGAGTCAAAGGATGCGAGACATCAGCATGGGCACCTGCAGATTTGTCAGACAGGCAAGTCTCGACAGTCTCAATGACCAGAAAGACTCGCTGATCAGGCATAAGTCATAAGAGATCAAGGGTACTCAGTAGTGAGGAGTGACTCGGTTCAAGCACTTTCGACTGCCCGCTTCTGCTATTCTCATTCCGGGCAGGCGACGCGTGAATGTGATGCAAGCGACCAGAAGATAAGGTCGGAGGATTCGGAGACTTGGCGGGATCGGCCGGCCCGCTTTACTGTCTGCAGGAACCAACTCCGCACTGCCGGAGATACGGCTCGGCGACTACTCCTAGGAATGGTAGCCCCGCACGAAACATCCCTCTTGGGCGCGGGGATGCCCACAAAACCCGAGCTTGGCTCGCAAACTACCCCCATTTTGGGACCCAGTCTTGGCTATCTAATTTAGACGGCCTGCAAGACCGATTGTATCTACAAGAACGATTATTCACAACACGACACTGATGAAAAGACAATTGAGAACACGGTAAAAAAGCTAAGATGGCCAAGTCGACAATTCAACTAAACAAGATGCGTTCATAAGCAACCACTTTTGGAATTGGCTCAGCCACGGCCGCGAATACTCTTCGACTGGTTCATCCCAACCATGAGTCTTCTTATTGTTGTTCTTCTTCGTTAACTTGATCCTGGAGAAGATCCAAGCATCACGGTCCTAAAGGGCACCTTGCAAAGGTTGCGTTGCGACTGGGGTTTCCGGAACAGGCTCCCGTAGAAGTCGCAGTGGCGATTGGTCTTTTCACGACCAAGAATTGGCTTGAGGCTTGAACCTGATTCCAGCGGCGGTTCTGGCTCCAGGTCGGAGAGAATCCCTGGTACTGGCACAAATTCAGACTCAAACACCAGTTTCAGCTCTGTTGCTTTGCCCGACTTACCGAGTTCGCACACCGGATCTGGCATGGGATTGGGATCGCAGTTGTACCAATCTTTCATCGAGAATATGGCGTTAAGGAAACGGTCGAATATTGACTTCATGGAGGGCTGGACTGACCTCCTCCCTCTCCCTCACAAAAAGGGCCAACGTCTTATCGAAGATGAAGCGATCAACACTCTCTAAGGCTGGTTCAGATTGATCTCGTCTATATATAATACATTCAAACATCACAGATTCCAGATAACTCTACTGATTCTATCCGCCTCTACATTAGATTGAGTTTAACCTGTTGATCAGAGAGTAGGTGTGGTAAGATAGAATAAGTATGTTTAACAGGATACAAAGCCGAAGCCTTCAGGATCCAGTGAGGGCCCTAGTTCTTGATGTTCCCTGCCGACGAATTTCTACTACGACGCACTCTGCGCGAACGAGTAGGTCTCTGTCTGTGCTCGGTGATAATTCCCAGCATGGGGTAACGGGTGTTCGATACTTTATGAGTTCAGACTGTATAAGGTCTGCTCTCTGCGTCATTGGTTAATATTGTTACATTTATCCCAAGAAAAGGGCCTATATGAGATTGGATGGCCTGCAGTCATAACAGGGCTGTCTTATTTTTCACTCCATTTTTCCTAGCCTCAAGTGATGCCAACTAATTGGCCTTAAAATGTGGTATCAGCATTAAAAGACCCGTTGGCA